TTTCACTATTATCTCTAAATTTGTGATCTAGAATAACTATAAAACATCAAACAAATTGTGTTCTTGTATTTGTAGGATCACAGTTTTGGAAGAAAGCATGAAGGTCATGTAGTCCAACTCCCAGTATAAGCCATCTCTACAACTAAATCTTGGAGTACTGCACTTATGACTTCCCAAGTGGTCTTTCTGGCCTCACCTTGTGTCCTCTACTGTCTGGCCTCCACTCTCTAAACTCTTCTGCCAGCTCGCTGAATGCACCAAGCTCTTTCCCAGGTCGGGAACTTGACAGATGCTTTTGCTCTGTCTGGATTGTTCTCTCCCAACTTTCCACCAGACTGGCACCCAGACATCCTTCATGTCTCAACTAAAATACTGTTTCCTTAGACAGGTCCTCTTGACTGCCCCCGCCATTATTCTTTTCCACTTAAAGAAGTTGCTTGCGGTCACAATAACTTCGCATCTTTCTTGGATTTTCACTTTCTTTTAGTGCTGTCTTATCCTTCCTGTTTTTGAACATTTCTTCTTCTCAGTAAAAGAAGAAAGCAATAGACACTGAGTAATAACATTTTCTCCCACAGCCACTGACTTCTTTATTCACTACTTTGCTCTAGACAACACTAGAAGAATTTTTGGCTTGCATGAGCATTTTTTCCAGGTTTCAGCTCACTCCGGATTTCACTCTTCCTCACACTATACTTATAGCTCATTTAACACCTTTGTAAGTATTTCTAATTATGTGTTCCTTTTTTCATCCATTCTACAATCCATTTTTTAAAACCTTTGATTAAAGTCTCTATGTAGTATTATGAATAGTTCTGGTGGTATCTCTCTTGGGATAATGTGACATGCTAATTACAATTTTTTTTAAAGTTAGTTTATCTCAACTCCTTGTTTTTAAGAACTCCACCTCCAATCAAAGCTGCCAATGATTCCAAATTGCCACCTGCAATCCTGGTCCTCACCTCACTCATCCTACAACATCTGACACAGTTGTCCTTTCCCTTTTTTTTAAACTCTTCCTAGTTTAGGTTCCATGACAACACTTTTTTATGGTTTACCTCCCACTATGCTGCCTTTTTACTGGCTCCTATGCAAGATATCTCAGTGTTAGAAAAGACAGAACTTGGCTCTTAGGGCTCTACTTTCCCTCTCTCCCTCACCCTCTCTCTCTCTTCCTCTCCCTCCCTCCCTCTCTCTCTCCCTCCCTCCCATGATGTTCTCAAGATCATGGCTCTAAATAGCCTTCAGGGGCACTTGATTCCCAACTTTCTCTGTTCACCTATGACTTCTCACAAGTATTCTAGATTCTTATATCCGAAAGTCCAGTTTGACATTTCCACTTGGATTCCTTGGATACCTAAAAAGGGCTGGAAATGAATTATTCATTCTCCTTTCAATTTTTCTTATCTATCTTAGGAAATGGCTTTACCATTTACCCAGCATCTTCAGTTAAAAAAACTGGTGATCATTCTGGTTCTTCCTTTTCTTCATCCCCACCCCTTATCCAATGAGTCAGCAAGTCCTGTTCTCTCCGCCTTCAAATATTTCCTGAATCTATCCACTTCTCTCTAGAAGCACTGTTTCTACCTGTTTTATGCCACTGTCACCTCTGGTCTACTGGAAGAGCCTCCTAACCGCTCTCTCGTCTACTCTGGACACCCTATAATACCTTCTCTTCAGTGAGGCCATGGTGACATTTTAAAAAGATGACCTTTGCTGAGGCTCTCCCTGACCACTGACTCACACAGAGCCTCCCTCCCCATCCCAGGTCACTCTCATGATTATAGTTTAAATATTTTTAATAGCACTGAAGCATGCATAATTGCTAATTTATTTATAGACTTAGGTGTCTAATTGAAGACATTTTTTAGCTGTTTGCTAAACAGGGTATTATTCTCATTAGTAGCACTCTACACAAGTTTTCTTCATGTAAGGAGGGCCTAGGCGAAAAGGTTAATATTCAGGGAACATGAATAATGATTGCAAAAGGCATGAAACAAAGTAAGTAATATTCTCAACTCCAGTTATGGGGAACTAATACTCTCAACTCCATTTATGGGGTTTACAATAGGGTTTTATTGCCCTTAGTGATATTCCTATTTCTACAATACATAATAAACTTAAGCTCCTTATACACCTAATAATGAGTGGAAAATCATCTCCTTTTAGCCTCCGTCTTAAGAAATTGATATATTTGACATGGAAAACAACTTGTTTGTCCTGTCTGGTTTTTACTGTAATTGTTTCCTGCACCTCCACATTACAATTACTTGCTCAAGAGCTGAACTATTGGTTAACCTGCCTTGATGAATCAACTCAAGAAACTGGATTAACTGTGAGCTGAGTTTTACGTGAATAGTTGGTCTACATTTCATGCTCTGCTAATCTGAAAATTAAAACAATAACTAACCCAAAATTCCCCAGAGTGAAGTGGGAAAAGAGCAGATTTCTGTTCTGAGCCACCTGGGGCTTTAGGTGACTTCACTTTTCCAGAAGAGTAGTAAATACATGAAAAGCAGCTCAGACACCAGCAGATACTTTTGGTAAAAGCTGGTGTGCCAAGGCACTGAGATGATCAATTATCCTAGGGTTACCTTCCGTATGAGGCCAAGTAGTCCTGTTCCAGAAATGGCCTATGAGAAAGTTGTGGTTTGCTCACATATGACAGATTCCCTTTATTCCTTCTTGGCAACTATGAGAACAGGCTCATCCAGTTTCATCTGCAATGTTTTATTTTCCTTTTGCAATCAATGATAGTAATATTCATGGGAGGCCACAGTCAGTTCTTAAGCAGAAAAGCCTCATTAATACCAAGCCATCTGTGAAGAAGGCCCTTTTTTGGTCATCCATAAGAACTCCCTCTTGCCTTCAAGAAGGATTGATCCCATCTGGGCAGAGGATTATGTTAGAAAACTATGAAAAATACTTAGGAGGAATGGCTCTCACTTCATATTATAATTTGAACTTTAGAGTAACTTGAAAATTCAATAAACTTAAATACCTGAGGCTATAATGCTGAAGTCTATCTTTTCTGCTACCTTTTCACATTTAGGACTATATAACCATGTAATATATAGATATATAGATATATATATAGATATATAGATATGTAATATATAATAATATATACATGTAATACTGAATATGCATGAATATAACTAAATATTAAAAACAGCACACATTCTACTTTTAAACATAACTAAATCAAAATTCATAGCTATTATTATGTTAAATAATAATTCTGTTGCTAATAATCCTGAAACTGCATGTTATTAATTTGGGGCTTAAGTAACCCATTTAAACAACTGGAATCTTATACCCTTAATTTTACATCTTGAAATGAAAGCCTAGTAAACATGTGATAGGTGTGTGACTTTAACCAAACATACATGTTTCCTAGGAAGGCAGCCCCTAGCTTTACTACCTAGTTACATGTCACCTGCCTCAATAGTTTTCAGATCATGTACTGGGTGGGAAACTCCTGGAAGCTAATAGACTGTTTCACTTGAACCAACACACTTGCTCACACCCTAGTTGCTGCAACACTTCGATCAGAATCTGGAGAGAGAGAGGGGGAAAAAAGCTGAGCCAAACACTGGAAGACAGAAATCGCTTCTGATTTCTCTGCGGCTCTTTCACGGGAGACCCTGCGAGGAACTGCGCGCTCCCTCGCCGGGCTCGCCGGGCTGAAGGGCTTCTCCTAAAATGAAACTCCAAACACGCTGTCGCCGGGGTCACCACCATTATTATTACTCGACCGTCGTTTGCGATGCCGGTGGAAGGACATTGGTACTGCGGTGCCCAGCTTCCACCCTCACCAGACGCGTGAGAGGCAAACACCGAAGCAAAGCCCAGCCAG